TGGTATATGCCTGGAGAATGACTCTATAAAGTATTAATGAAGTGTGTCAAGCAGGCTTGCGGAGGGAGGTAGGTTGGTGGCATTCATACAGTACATGCGGTGAGAAAATGCATCCAGGGCATTTGGCATTACACACTTATCATTACCCACTGTGCCTCCTCTTTACCTGGGTGGAACAACACCCTTGCAAATATCAGGACCAGGCCCCATTCCTCCTCTTCCCCTTTTGAATCCATCAATCTGCTCTGTCCCCACACCTGCCCCCATGGTGTTGACTCTCCCTGAGACGTAGGCCCAGACCACGTGAGCTCTTTAAACAGTAATGAGCTAATAACAGTGGATGAATAGAATGACTGGAGGCAATGAAAGCTCCACATGGCATGGTGAGACAAAAATGGCAATGGTGCAAATAGCGCAGGAAGAGGTCAAGAGACTAGGAGACTCTCCTTTTCTCTCTTTCTCTCTGCAGAGTTTAGCACAGTGGGCTGAGCAGACCTACTGTTAGGTGTGTTTTATGCCAGTTTCCACTGTCATTGGCACTCAGCTCTCTTTATGGAACTTGTAATCGATAGTTCACCCAAAAAATAAAATTCTGTCATTATTTACTCGGCCTCATGTTGTACCAAACCTGTATCATTTTCATTCTTTCACAAAAGAAGATATTTTGAAGAACACTTCAAATGTTTTTGATCATACAATGAAAGTGAAAGCATTATCAGCCACAATATTAAAACCTCTGACAGGTGAAGTGAACAACATTGATTAATGATTTACACTGGCAAATGTCAAGGGGTGGCATATAACTGAACAGATAGGCTATGTTCACTCTGCATGCAAATGTGGCCCAAATCTGATTTTTTATTTTGCTCACATGTGACTCAGATATTTCTCATGACGGTGTGAACCGCACAAACCACATGGAATCTGATCTTTTCAATTCCGATCTGTGCCACTTCCATATGTGGTACTAAATTTGATTCAGGTCAGATGTTTTGCAATGCGACTGCAGTAACAGTCATTTTGGAATTCATGTGACTTTTATGACACTCTAGATCAACATTCATCATGATTCTGCGCTCATGGGAGCCACTTCAAAGATTTTACATACCCAAAGTTATCAAGACAGTTGCAAAAGTCAGTGGAAGTATGATGTGTCAGAATCCATAAGTATTACAGTGACAACACTATATACACAAGCAAAACATAAGGGCTCATACATAACGTTTCAAATGTGACTCTTCTGTCACATCCTTGTCTTTATTTTTCATATTGCCTGCACATAATTTCACTGGCTTGTGCAGCACACTATAAATAAACGCATTATTGCATACTTTATGTCCTCCGTGTTTACTTCCGTATGACGGTGCGGTGCACAAGTGTTGCCAAGTCCACAGTTTTCCTGTGATATTGGGCGACTTTTTCACTGTTGCTGCGGGGGTTTTTTCATCTCTGTGGGTTGAAGCAACCCCACTAATGAGATATTTACACCCAGGAACATGATTGGGCTAGTTTTGGACAAGTTTTGAGAAACAATTGGGTGGATTTTGTTGTGAAAACGTGGCAACCCTGTTCGTATTGTCTTTTTACACATATGAGAGAGTTCAGAACCATGATCTGTTCACACTGGAAATCTGATATTGGCCACATTTAAAACAACGTGAACAGCTATACAAAAGATCGCATCTGAGGAAAAACTGGAATTAAGCACTAAGGCTCGCAGTGTGAACATAGCCTAAGTGACTTTGACAAGGGCCAAATAGTGATGGCTAGACAACTACGTCGGAGATTCTCCAAAACTTCAAGGCTTGTGATGTGTTCCTGGTATGCAGTGGTTAGTACCTACAAAAAGTGGTGCACGGAAGGACAACCGGTAAACTGGCATCAGGGTCATGGGCGCTCAAGGCTCACTAACGTACATGGGGACAGGCCAGTGGAGACTCTTATACTCTTGGCAATATTCTGCAGGGAAACCTTGGGACCTGACATTCATGTTGATGTTAGTTTGACATGTACCACCTAACCAAAGAGGGTTACATATTACATGCACCGCTTCATGGCAATAGTGTTCCCTGATGGCAGTGGTGTCACTGCAAAAAAAATTATCAGGAATGATTTAAGGTGCATGACAAAAAGTTCACGATGTTGCCTTGAACTTGTCGCGCAACTTGCAGGATTAAAATATCTCTAAACAGAAGATATATAGTTAAGTCAATAAAATCTAAGGTTCAGACTGATAGGTCTTTTACATTCAATCTGATATCAATCACATCATTTACTACACGTCGCAAGCTGTTTGTCCTCTGCTGATTCTGCGGTTAACGCGATTGCTTGCTCAACATTTAAATAGTCTGTTTTAGTATTCGTTGTAAGTTGGTCTTGCAGTGGGCTATCAGAGTTTCTCTGAAACCTTCCACCTCCCCCAGCTCCACACAGATCTGGTATGGTTATCTAGGTTTGCTTATTCATGTCGCAGCAGCAGCATATTTTACATGCTCACAGCAGAATGTCAGTCCAGAGAGAGAGAGAGAGAGTAAAGAAATGCATACAAATTTGAAAGTATGGAGACACTTTAGAATAGGGAACACATGTTCACTATTAACTTAGAGTTTTCCCTGAACAAACTCCTAGTTTGCTGCTTATTAATAGTTAGTAAGTTAGTTAAGTTTAGGTATGGGGTGGATTTAAGGTGGATTAAGGGATCTAAAATACGGTCATGCAGAATAAGGCATTAGTATGTGCTTTATAAGTACTAATAAACAGCCAATATGCTAGTAATATGCATGCTAATAAGCAACTAATTAATAGCTAAAATGTTTAAATGCCCTGTCTGAGAGTCTTTTTGTGAGAAAACAACGTGTTTGTACATTCACAGTATTAGTTTTCACATATGTAAAGTGTCATTAATTGTTCTCTTAGAATGTGTTAGTGATGGATGGTATATCATGTGACATGCTTGACCTCCTACTAACAAATCCTCAAAAGCAATTTGAGGCCATTTTCCTCTCAATAGCTTGAGATGATATACTATTATGCTGTATGTGTGCCTCATTATTATGAAGACGTGGGAAAAGCACACTTTCAGGTCACCTTTCTTTGTGTCTAAGGATTTCGTCTTGGAATAAACATAGATGTTGTCAAAAATGAAACACGTTAGATGTTGTCAAAAATGAAATGCATATCTTTATGCAGCTGTAAGAATTTGACAGCCAACCACCCGTGCTAAACCTGCATTACCCACAGACTCTTAAAACCCAATCAGACTGCCAAATGCCACCATCTCATATAACCTGCTGTCAAATTAAAGGGTAAAGTAAAAAAAAGAATAGGTGCCCAGTTATTTGCCACTGTTCATGGAACAATGACACTTTTGACAGCAGATATTTAAATGACCCAAGCCCTTTTATCTGGCTCAGATCCCATTACTTTTCCTTTATGAAACAGGTGGTGAATGCTAAATGGCATTAATCCCACATGATGTCTCATTCAGTGAGCCCCTTAATGTCTGGAGTCTGACACTGATGCTCTCTTTATGTTTGTAACACACCAACCCAGGAGAGCTGTCAGTGAGAGACAGCGAAACTCCAAGATGGAAAGGGCTAGTCCACATAAGAAAGCACAGTGACTTAAAAGTCACATCTTAGATTGGTTCCAGTGGTACCATCCATGTTTGTGATGAATCCCGAATCATAGCACCACACCTGATGGTGTGTAATGAAGAAAACAAACTTGTTACACTCTTCAAGGCTTCCTAAAATAAAAGACCAGGCTGCCCATGGTGTGCTGGCAGAACGAGTTTAGTCAGATCACAGTGCTGTTACTGTCTGTTTGCCTCTAGCACTGACCTTTTAGGTTCAAATCGTCATTTAGTGCCTGCCCAATATTTTGACAGGCGCTGCTTACGTCTTATTATCGTACCATTGCACTCTGTCTACCAGGGCAGGTTTTTTCTTGTGAACTTTGGATGCCAACCAATTGATATTTTAATTAAAATATCTGTCTGCTCACAGGAGAGGTTTTCTTTCTCCTTTGTAGCAATACGTGTTTGTCAATAATATTCACTTGTGGTTTTAAATTGCTCAGTAACCTCTAATTAAATTTACGCTATTGACAGAAGAGAATTAATTAAACTGTGATTAATTTGTTTGAGCTGTTTAATTTCAAAGACTTCTAAAACATCCTGTCTTATTATTAAAAAAATACAACTTTATTAGAAGAGAGGCACTGGTTTGTGACCCACATCTGAAAAGCATTCTACACCTTTTCAATCACTAATATGAGGAATATTAATTAATTTACTTATTTTTTTTTTCCTTTTCTCTCTTTCTATGCTTATGTATGTTGTGTACCAAAAGCAAACACACTCCAAAAGTGCATGTCAGAGCATGTCAGAATCAAATAATGGGATATTTCAGCATCCAAATTTGTGCACAGATGAATTTTCTCCTCAAATTCAGTCAACATTAATATGCTGGTACATCAGATACCTCCAGGCGTCATACTAGAACCGCCCCCTACAGTAAACTATTTCTGCCAGGTTAATGTATACATCAAGGCAGACTACAGAGGTTTTTACTTCAGTGTTTCCCTGCTTATACTGTATGCTAAACTAATCACTGGTCAAAACATCAGAAATGGATTGAGGTTAAGACTAGAAAAATGTGTGTGTGCAAATCTAAAGGAAACCCCAGAAGAGTTCCTTCTCTTTCTTTGCAATAAACTACTGGAATTGACCTTGAATTTCTTAAGACTGAATACAATTTGTTGTATTGCTTTGAAGAGGAAGCACAGACACTGTCTGTCCATCTGGCTGTTTGTTTTGCAGTGGTTTAATCTTATTTATCAACTGTTTGTACTGCTTTGCCCTCAAACACAGCCGACTGTGACGTTCTCCACCTGGTATGAGTCAGATGTGGCCTGGTTTCACTGTGTTGCATTACCAGCTGCATTCACATAATATGGCATATCTTGACATTTACATAACAATACAATGTGCATTTGAACCACTTCAGTTTTAAAAGCAAGTACAATGGAAAATCGGGACAGGAAATGAAATACTAGATGGAAAACACTAAATAAGATGATATGAGTATGTGTGTGCAAGAGAGATATGTTATAGTCATTCTAAATGTACTTGATGTGGGGTGGGGGGGTTTGCCTCTGGTAAATGTATTTCCTGTTAACTTGGACTGCAGTTTATGCAACAAGCATCCATAGAAAATGAGCTGCAGATATCATTTGTGTCCATATTTAAGATGGAAAGACAGAGAAAACAGGAAACGGGGAAGTAAGCTCACAGTATGAAATACACTACACTGAAAGCTACTCATCTTGAAAAGGTAATTCGGTAAATTGAACAAAGGCACTTTGTTCACACATGGATGAATACGATGCAAATGAATGGCTCACAGAGGCCATTACAACTATGGCCCACATACAGTTTTCCAATCTTGCCTGCCCAAAGAAGTCCAACAACAGGCCTGGAAATGTTAGCAAGCCAACCTGCTCTTGTTATGTATAAATAAATAAATGATGTATACTTAATGTCTGATCATTGCAGAGATATAGTTAACCAAAAAATTAAACTTGGTCATTATTTAATCACCCTGTATGACTTCCACAGAAGAAATAAAGTAATACAGGTTTGAAAGACATGAGGGTGAGTAAATGATAACAGAATGTTCATTTTTGGCTGAACTATCTCTTAAATTTTGTGTTTTGAGAGACAAGCATCTGCAACAAATATTTAAGACTACAAACACATGCAAATGCATAAAAAAAAATCATTTTTTTGGCTAAATACAATCTACGGTACAATATATCACTGTGAATTAGCAGCCTATGGACAGTGATTCACACTACCATAAAAAAGTTTGGGATCTGTAATTTATGTATGTATGTATTTATTTAAATGCATTTATATTTTTATCCAGAAAAGATGCAATAAAATGATCAAAAGTGACAGTAAATTATTTTACTATTTCAAATAAATGCTGTTGTTTTGAACTTTCTATACATCAGTGAATCCTGAAGAAAAAAGTAAAAAAATATCAGTTTTTCAACCCAGCTTTGCCATCATAGAAACAAATTACATTTCTCTCTCTCTCTCTCTCTCTCTATATATATATATACAGTATATATATAGAGAGAGAGAGAGATAGCGATAGATAGATGGATAGATAGATAGATAGACAGACAGACAGACAGACAGACAGACAGACAGACAGACAGACAGATATTAGTAGTTATTTGTCAATAAGAGCCGACAAACCTTTCAGCTGCAAGGGAAAACATGTGGGCAGACAGTATGAAAAACAGTTATTTTAAAGTACTTTACTCTTCAGACAGTATGAAAGAAATAGGAAGTCATATAAATTCTAGCTATACCAATAATAACAAAGCTGATGAAGGTCAACAGTTTTTGACATTGTGACATATACTAGTTTTAAAATATAGTTGTTGCTTTAACCTATCATTACCTGTACAGTAGGTGAATATTAAAATCACATTAAAATCATCTGCAAAAGGTGGTTATGAAACAACTCTCAGCTTGCTAAAGTTACTTGCCATATGGCAAAGATTTTTTACCCTCACCCTCTCTCTATTTCTCTCTTTTGGTAACACTTGAGTATAGGGACCAGTTCTCACTATTAACTAGTTGCTTATTAGCATACCTATTATTAACATATTGGCTTTTTATTAGTGCTTATAAAGCACATATTCTGCATGACCATATTCTACATCCTGAATCCTGCCAAATACCTAAACTTAACAACTACCTTACTAGCTATTAATAAGCAGCACATTAGGAGTTTATTGTGGGAAAAGTCTTAGTTGCTGGTTTGATAATAGCGAGAATTGGACCTTGAAATAAAGTGTGACCTCTCTTTCTAAAATGAGCAATTGACACTTGGGGCTGTTAATACAAAACTGACAATTTAAAATAAAACAATGAAATTATTACCTGATTATGTGCCCTGACTCAAGCACTTGTCAGTTCGGTCCTACAAGTACCAGGTATAACAACACCAGAAGGCCAGTGCATGCTGTTCCGTTTGAAGTGGCTCACGTGTGTCAAAATGTGCAGAAGGCTGAGAGGGATGTTCAGCTAATGCGTGGCTGGCAGCTTTTCTTTCTTTATAGTTGTCTGCAGGGGGAATAACATCAGCCCTGGGGGTCAAAGCATCTGAACAAACTGGTCAGGAATGCCAGATCCATTATAAGATTCAGCCTGGACTGACTGGAGGCAATGACATAGAAGAGGATGGTGGGGTTAATAAACAACGGACAATTCTGCACATCCTCTCCACAAAGAGATATATTGAACTACCTTTAGCTACTGTCCTGTTCTATATATTTTGTTTTAAGGTGTATTTGTTAATAATAACTACACACTTAAAATAATATGAACGCCTGGTCTTCAAAAGCAAATAGTGTATGTGGAGTGTTACACTGACATATGACACACAATGCGGATTGGATTGCTGTTCTGTAGGAAAATACACTTGAACCAAAGAAGGTGAGACAACTCCTCTGTGTGGCAGATATGATTTCTGACAGACATGGTTCTGACCAAAAAAACCATAGCACTATTTTCGATTTTCTAAACTACCAACTATTTTAAATATTTCAGAAAATATTCAGTGCCATTTTCCAACAGAGACTGTATGATTTTGAGATCCATCCTTTCACTCTGAGGACAACTGAAAGGTGAAAATATTTACTGAGTGATACTCAAGAAGGCAACACAATGCAAGATATGTAGTGATAAAGAGTGTAAACTTTTGAACAGGATGATAAAGAGTGTAAAGTTTTGAACAGGATGTGTACATTTTTCTCATTTTGTTTAAATATCTTTTTTTCCCATTAACTACTTCTCTTCAGAAGCTACATAAAATATGTCCATGTTTCCCCTGATCATCCAATTCAAAAGTTCACAGCCAATCTAAAATAAATGTAAATATTAGGTAAAATCAGAGATACCATTCAAATAAAAATAAGCATGTCTTCCTATTTCTTCTTATTGTTTTTGTTTGTTTGTTTGTTATTTGATGGTGGTGCATAATTTATTTTTAACAGATCACAACTGATTTGTATAAGCTCAAATCTAACAAGAAAAAACAAGGACAAAGAGCTCCATGAGAAATCAGAGCCTTTAAATGATCGCCGTTTCCTTGACAACAGAACTTCATTCCATTTCAAGCAGAGTGGATCTGCCATTCAGTCATACCATGTCCTGTCTCTCATCCCCACTCCAAGCCATCTCTGCAAGAGTATTGTCAATCTTCTGAATGATAAAAATAAAAATAAATAAATAAATAAAAGGGTTGAGTGCAATCAAAATGTTCTCAAAGAGATCTAAACTTTTACTTTTTGCACTCTGTGCTCACTTTTGATCTTGAGAGTACAGAAAACACTATAGCTATTTCAGACCAATTCTCTTTGGCAGTGATGTAATAGTACATTTACACTGTTGTTAAAAAGTTGATGTATGATTATTTTAAATGTTTTTTTATATATATATTTAGAAAATATTAAATACAACTTAAAATAACTGTTTTCTGTTTGTACATACTTTATCATTTTATAAATTTTAAGCAGACATTACTCCAGTCTTCAGTGTCACACGAACGATCCTTCAGAAATCATCTTAATTTGTGTTCCAAAGATGAACAAAGGTCTTATGGGTTTAGAATGACATGAGGGTGAGTAATTAATAACATAATTTTCATTTTTGGGTGAATTAATCCATTAAGTTGAAGAAAGCATCACACTGAAAAATAAAGAAGGCTTCACATTGTTTTATACTGTTTATAAATTGTAAATATATTGGTTTACTCTAAATCATTATACAATTGGCGTCCAGTCAAGTATCCAACCCTACATTTTTTATATAGTCTATCTGCAGTGAACCCAGGACTCAATGCAATCAGAGCAGTCACTCCTCAGCCCACTCAAGACTTCTGCATCAGAGGTACGAAGCAGTACATTTCCCTGCTCCCATAAAACCAGGCATCATAGAGATGACGGAGAGAAAGGCACAAGACTTTCAGAAGCAACCAACAAATGTGTGTGCATAGATCTTCTCCACTCATACGTAAGGAAATACTATATATCTGAGATAACAAACCCAGAGGTGCCACTTTGTCCATTGCAGAATACATACCAAAGGTAGATTCAAATGTCATGCTTATGCATTGGAGAGATAGCATCAGAGTGCACACGGTCACAACAAATCAATAGTCCTTACAAAGCCTCCTCTGCATTTAGAAACTAATTTAGGCTAGCTCCTAATAGTTGAAGTTTGCCTAGATAATGCATAAACAGTGTGCTTGAGAATGGAAGATCTTCTTTGCTTAAACACTTTTGTCACAATCGCCTCAGAGAGAAAGTGCATTTTGTGTGATTGAAGAGCCAACACAGTGCAAACAACCCAACACATTCGAAACACATTATTTGTCAATAACGCTGCTGATAGTCAAAGAAATAAAAATGACAACAAGTGTTTTCCCCTTTCTAGACTTTTGAAGAACATAGACCTCTCTCCTCTTAAACAAAGAAGAAAAAAACACAGTTGCATTTTACATTCTTAGAGCACACACACTTACTAGAAAGCCTCCAATGAAGGAAGACTTCGTAAGTTCAGAGTTCAGCATCAGTCCTTTCATACAGATATTTCAGTCAGACATATGCAAATTTGTACAACAGCATTGAACAGCCTTTTCATCCCTCTAAAACCAATAACCATAGAGGCAAGAGCTCAACATCACAAGTGAATTCCCACCACAGTGTTCAAAAGCATGACATAATGGATTAAACAGCCATGTGACAGCAGTACAAATTAGCAGTACAAATTGTTCTATTTCCAAATAAAATGTAGCATATTTCCAATTCCTTTTCTCTCTCTTTATGTATTTCTTTTTTTCAGATGTCACTTTTATCCCTCTGAGTCAAGTGGTATTGTCCAGACCCCAAACTAATGAAAAGTAAAGAGCAGCCTCGTGGGGAAAGATCTAATTTCAGTGATGAGTAGCTAATCTCCTGGTGAGGAGCACCAGCCATTCCAATAAGGAGAGAAATGTTGGGCCACAGCTAATAACATAAACGTCAATACTGAACCTCTGGAGTGGCATGATTAAAACCAGCAACCTTCACCAACAGGTTCACAAACCATCAAGTTCACAAAAATATGCAACATCAAACTTAACTTATTTTTTTTATGGATTTTTCAGAGGCTTACCAAAACTTTAAAAGCTTTTAATTTTATTTGTGCATAATCCTTAGAGCACATTTCTTGATCCAAACCATAAGTTAGATGATGGATTTCATCTGCATAGTTGGTGTACAGTTACTGCAGGTTCTGTGAGCAATGGTACAAAACTATTTTCTACAGTATGTCTGTTTCTCAGACTGTCATCCTCCATTGTTCTGCATATTTGGATTCTCACGGGTTTTGAAGGGGGGAGCAGATGGAAAAAGATTCACAAACTGACAGCAAACACAACTTCACTTCAAAGTTGTTGTTTTTTTTTCTCCCCCCTCAAAGTAAAGCAGCCATGAATGAGCAGCCAATAAACAGAGCCAACATGCTTGTAGGCATATGTATGGTCTACTGCAGGGATCCTCAAATCTGGCCCACGAGATCCACTTTTCTGCAGAGTTTAGCTCTAACCCTAATCAAAGACACCTGAGCATGCTAATCAATGTCTTCAGGATCCTTAGAAAATCACAGGTAGGTGAGTTTGATCAGGGTTAGAGCTAAACTCTGCAGCGCATTGGCCCACCAGGGCAAGATTTGAGGAACCCTGGTCTACTGGTTAACTGGTCATTGTGGTTGTCTCTCACTCAAAAACAGAAAATTTAACATTGCCCTAAATAGGAATGAATACTGCTGTTTCACATATTCATATGTAGACAGCAATGCTGGAATGTAATTTAATCTGCTTTCAAAATAGTGTCGTTTTATATATATATATATATATCGCTTAGTGTATGCAGCTTTACTGCCAGGTGAGCTGTTAAGAAATAATTGAATGGGCTTGTCTAAACAGTTCTTTCTCAGAAGTATGAATCATTCTACTGAATTTGTTCATCTGAAACTTTCATGCTATTCATTCAAGTAAATTTAAGTTCATTCGGACAGTTCATATAAAAGAACCATTCAAAACAATGATTCATTGAGATGTATCACTCTATGGTAATTACAGAATGTTTCTGACTTGGTTGAATAAATTGATTTTTCTTTTTTCTACGGCTGTCTGAAAGTTTGAGCACCCCTGAAAAAAGTTAAAATAAGTGAATACAAACTCTGCAGTGAAAAAAGGTAAATGTGATATTTCTGCAAATGTTAATGCAGCTACCATTAATTTGCTTGTTTTAGTCTAATCTTAGTCCAAATTTATCTTTAATGAATGGATCCAAACAGTTTAATTTCTTTAAGGTTTTAGGATGAGGTTGCAAGCAACGTTTTGTTCCTGATGAGCCTTCTATGCAGTCCATGTTTACACTGATTTTGTGCCTGCTTAACCTTCCTGCACAACCTTTGCAGTGACATGGAGGTTTGTTTTGTATTCCTGGCCAGTCTACCAACAGTTGTATTGCAGATTTGTCTTCCTCTTTCAGATCTTGCCTTGGCATTGACAATTCATCTTAACATCCATATCGGATGATGGAAACTAGAAGCTGTTTTGGTATTTTTTAGATCCTACTGTCACGATTCACACTGGGAGCATGGGAACGAAGGAGCGAGGAGACGAGGATTAAAGCAAATTCAAAAGTCTTTAATGAAAACAAAGCTGGCAACACAGGTAATCACGGAGAACACAAAATGACATACAATACTGGACGCCGAACTAAGAATAGGGAACACTTCATATACACACACGACATGATGAGGGGATGACGAGACACACCTGGGATGAATAAACATAATAGGAACAGGAAACAGGAAGACCAAAAATGGGCATGGAAACACATGGGGAACAAAACACACACAAAACACAGAACAGAGTCTGACATTACTCCACCCTCCCAGAAGGCACGTTCTCGCGCCACACAACATCCAACGGGGAGGGGGGGTTGGCGTTCTGGAGGTCCCTCAGGACAGACACGAAACGGCAGGCCTCCAGAGCCTTTATTTTCTGATACGTCTGTTGTAAAAAAAAATATATATATATATACAGTGGGGCAAAAAAGTATTTAGTCAGCCACCAATTGTGCAAGTTCTCCCACTTAAAAAGATGAGAGAGGCCTGTAATTTTCATAGTAAATATAGATGGATTATTACAGTGCGCTGTAGATGAGCTAACATATGTTTGTTTAACGCTGTGAATGTAGAATGTAGCCGGCGGCTAGCGGATTAGCCCAGCTCTGGACCACGGAGGCAAGCACAGCTGGATGCAGGATGAGAGAGAGATGCTGTGCTCAACTGATGCTGAGGTGAGAGATGCTGTGATCACTATCCCAATACAGAATGCATATAAATGGAATGATATAAAGCTGGAGGATGGCCACACCTGGGGCTCATCAACCCGCCGGCAGATAAGTAGCGTGCGCACCGACGACGGTTGAGAAGCCTCTCCATGAGACAGCAGACTAACACTCTCTCTATTCCGTTTCAGAACGCACCGAATAACCGATCAGCCCCGCCACGAGCATGGCACGGATTCACCCGCACCTGGACATGACCGAGAGGACCTCAGCGAGCTAGAGCACCACCACCATTCACGTAGTCACTTGTCATTTAATAAAATCCACCCTCCGGGGCCTTACACCAAGCTCTCCTTGTTGCGTGATCCTTCCACCCTGCCACACTGGTAGGGTGAAGTAGGCTCGTTGCGCCTCACCTGTGAGAAAGGGTGCCAGCAGCCGTGCCCAGTCTTCCCTCCCCCATCCCTCCTGGGTCGCCGTGTTTTCAAACATCTGTAGAAAAGCTTCCACATCATCATGAGCCGTCATTTTTGGCAAGAGCTGTGTCACTTGTACCCGGGGGTCGGGTAACGGAACGTGCCGTGCTGTTAGTCCGGGAGTGGCTCAGCAGGCGCAGCAGCGACATTACAACCGAGCCGCCCAGCCTCAAGAATTCTAGCCGGGGGACCGAGTGATGGTCCTTTTCCCAAATTCGGCCTGCAAGTTCCTGGCCAGCTGGCAAGGCCCGTATACCGTCATGGAGAAAATCAGTCCAGTCACTTACCGTGTCCACCAGCTATATCACATTAACCTGCTGAAGAAATGGGTGGGGACAAGAGACCATCACGCCGCCCTCGCCACCGTAGAGATGGTGGTCGTGGACGTCAACCCACAGATGTCGGCAGCTCAGAAGGCCGATCTACAGCACCTGGTTGGCCAGTTCCCCGATGTGTTATCCCCGATCCCCGGGCGGACCCAGGTCCTCCATCACGAGATCCACACACCACCAAGAACCATCGTCAGGCAACGGCCCTACCGAGTCCCAGAGGCTCGTCGGCAGGCTATTGAGGAGTAATTCCAACAGATGCTGAAGTTAGGGGTGATTTAGTTAGGGGCTGCACGGGGCTCCCGCTACGTTCCAACGCATGATGAACATCTTGCTGCGGCCCCAACAGTCCTACGCAGCGGCGTATCTGGATGACGTGGTAATCCACTCTGAGCGTTGGGAAGACCACCTAGACCTTCTGTGGAGGGTGCAGATGGAGCTACGCTGGGCTGGGCTCACCGCCAACCCCCGCAAATGTCACCTGGGCCTATTTGAGGCAAAGTACCTGGGCTTCCAGGTCGGACAGGGCCTTGTCAAGCCCCAGGAAAAAAAGTGGAAGCAGTCCGGTCCGCCCCAAAACCCAGCACAAGGTCCCAGGTACGAGCCTTCTTGGGGTTGGCGGGGTACTATCGCTGTTTCATCCCTAACTTCTCCTCCTTAGCCGCCCCCCTGACAGACCTGACCAGGAAGGGGCAGCCAGAGAAGGTGTGCTGGACACCTGAGGCGGAAGACGCCTTCCGGAAGGTAAAGACAGCATTTTCCTCGGAGCCGGTTCTGCGAGCCCCGGACTTCAGCTGTCCCTTCCTGCTGCAAACGGATGCCTTTGACACAGGATTTGGAGCCGTCCTCTCCCAGATTCAGGAAGGTGAGGAGCATCCAGTCCTTTATATCAGCGGGAAGCTGACCCCGGCCAAGAAGAATTATGCCACCATGGAGAAGGAAGCTCTGGCCATCAAGTGGGCAGTCCTGGAGCTGCGCTACTACCTCCTGGGCCGTAAGTTCACTCTCGTTACAGACCACGTGCCCCTCCAGTGGATGGCCTGGGCCAAAGACACTAACACCAGGGTGACGCAGTAGTTCCTTGCGCTCCAAGACTTCCACTTCCTAGTGCAACATCGGGCCGGAGTGGCCAACTCCAACGCTGACGGCCTCTCCTGGATTTGGTCAGCTTTTGCAGGTCTGTCGGGGGTCACTCCTCACCCACCCCTTGTGTCTCCCCTACTAACACCATTTTTTTCGACTAGACCCAGGACAACGCTGGGGGGGAGGGGGTGACGAGCGTTCCGGCTCCACATCAGCGTTGCCCTGGAAACTCACGAGGTGCACCTCCTCACGAGCACTAAGGGCTGATCGGCCACAGCTGGGGCTCGTCAACCCGCCGGCAGATAAGCAGCGTGTGTACCGACGACGGGTGAGAAGCCTCTCCATGAGACAGCAGACTAACACTCCCTCTATTTCGTTCCAGAATGCACCGAATAACCGATCAGCCCCGCCACGAGCACGGCACGGATTCACCCGCACCTGGACACAACCGAGAGGACCTCAGCGAGCTAGAGCACCACCACCATTCACGTAGTCACTTGTCATTTAATAAAATCCACCCTCTGGGGCCTTACACCAAGCTCTCCTTGTTGCGTGATCCTTCCACCCCGCCACAATATATATAAAATTAGCATTTTTATCAGGCTCCTATGCTTAGGTTCAGTAATTTTACTTTACTTTAATGGCAATGTATAGGTCCTCTTCTATGCCATTCAAGTGAAATAACTGAACATAAATATAGGAGACTGATTAAAAATGCTCATTTTAGATGCAAATTTCAGACAGCACTTAGAGGCTTTTGCATCTGAACACTTCATATATATATATATATATGTACACACACACACACACACACACATATATACATTAACTAGATTTTCATTCTTGAGACAGCTGACTCGCATCTGTGTACAACCAAGCAGTCAAAATGTTTGCAGGTTCGGCAGCAGGGAGAATAATTATCTTTACACTTGTCCATTTTTTATTTTTCTATTTCGACACTGCGTCACTGTACTGTACACGTCAACATGCCATTGTTTCAACTGCTGTGATATCTTTTTTTATGTCTGCAAGTTTATCTGAAGTTAAATTGGTTGCATGAATACATTTTATTGTATTGGATGTCGTTTGTATGCAACTGATCATGCTAGTTCCAAATGTACAGTACTGAATCTGTATCTTTCAATATGGTTACACTGCATATCCAGCCAATACTGACAAAACACAAACATTGCAAATAACTTATTGGATCTTTTCATCTCATGATGGTGATGTGCTGAGAGATCATGGTTTTTATATTTTTCTTAAGTACGATTGCAGTAATGTCAAGGAGAGGGGTCACTCCTCTTTACAGTCGGCCATTATGGAACATAATCATGCTTTCTCTCAGGGACGCACAGCCAAACCTCCAGTGCTCCCTGTTATCATGTCTCACAATTTCTCTTGATTGCATTGCTTGCTTCATAGAGTTAGATGCATATGTCAAGGCAGTCTAAGTCATGAAGCTTTCCGAGAGCTTGAAATGGCAATTTTCTCAGAGTTAAAGGTCAGTCTCATGAAGATCTCTTGCAAATATCACAATGCACGAAAAGCGAGGGTGACTGCTTCCTCCCAAGTGTTATCATCTTGATCTTCTTTGTGTATGAGTCTCATCATCTCTGCAAAGTAATTAATAGAGTAAGCCATGTCACAGATAATAATATTTATTCAGCTTCACTATAATTTGTAAACATATCAACACTTATTTACACTACAATTCAAAAGTGAATAATTAAGATTTTTAAGATGTTTTATCTTCTCAATTTATGCATTAAACTGATCGAATGTGACCGTAGAGACATTTATAAAGATTTCTATTTCAGATAAATTTTATTTTAAACTTTCTATTCATTAAGATTTAAAAAAATCTGTATCATGGTTTCAACAAAAAATGTTAAACAGCACACAACTATTTTTAACTTTGATTATAATAAGAAATGCTTCTTGAGCACCAAATCACCAGGATTTTTGAAGGATTATGTTACTCTGAAATCTCCCTGAAGTTGGCACCCCATAAATAAAAATAATCACCAAAACTATGCCATTCGTTTGTGCTAAGTACGTTTGTGCTGATTTGTGTCGCAAAAACGAATGTTTGTGCTGGTTTGGTGTTTGAGATATTAAACATTATTTTTTTGACCATGTGACGACACTCTCCACCCCATGTTGCCCAAATCGCTCCAAACCAGCGCAGTTCGTTTGTGCCCGCTTCCTTAGATATAACCAACATGTTGTCGGGAGCTGTGACGTCACTCTCCACCCCAGTTCGTCTAAAGCGCACAAAACTGGTGTCATTCGTTTGTGCTCGATGTGTGCCGATTTGTGCTGTTGAAATGAACGTCAAATATATTTCCCCTTCATAGAAATAACAAAAACAATTCTGGGCAGTGACTTCACTCTCCACCCCATGCCATTCAAATCTCTCCAAACCGGTGCCGTTTGTTTGTGCTCGATTTGTGCTGGTTTGTGCCATTAAAAGAAACCCTGTAACTATGACCGCTTCTTTTATATAATACAAATAAACTTTTTACGAACAGTGACGTTACTCTCCACCCCATGCAATCTAAATCATTCCAAAACGGTGCCATTCGTTTGTGCTCGATTTGTGCTGGTTTGTGACGTTCAAATTTACATTGTGTCTATTTCCCGTCATCAGAAATAGCAAATACAAAATGGGCCAGTGACGTCACTCTCCACCCCATGCTGTCCAAATACCTCCAAACCGGTGCCATTCGTTTGTGCTCGATTTGTGCTGGTTTGTGACGTTCAAATTTACATTGTGTCTATTTCCCGTCATCAGAAATAGCAAATACAAAATGGGCCAGTGACGTCATAACTATGACCGCTTCTTTTATATAATAAAAATAAACTTTTTACGAACAGTGACGTTACTCTCCACCCCATGCAATCTAAATCATTCCAAAACGGTGCCATTCGTTTGTGCTCGATTTGTGCTGGTTTGTGACGTTCAAATTTACATTGTGTCTATTTCCCGTCATCAGAAATAGCAAATACAAAATGGGCCAGTGACGTCACTCTCCACCCCATGCTGTCCAAATACCTCCAAACCGGTGCCATTCGTTTGTGCTCGATTTGTGCTGGTTTGTGCCGTTAAAAGAAACAATGTAACCATGACCTCTTCTTAAAAATAAGGGGAACTTTACTCTCCACCCTGTTTAGCGCGGCCACAGAGTAAAACAAATAAATAGTGTTCGTGCTGCCTTAAAATTTTAAGTTTAGTCAGCTCCAAGTTTTCACTAACTTTATATTTCAAGTTGACTAAGCTTAAACTTCAAGGTAGCATTTTTGTAGCAAGTTGAAACGGTGAGACCGTCTAAATCGTTCTAATTAATTTGTGCCATTAGAATATTAAACATCTAGGTCTATTCCCCACGAATATTCATTAATATTAATATTAATTAGGTCATATAAATAGCCTAATTCCAGGCGGTCTCCACACCAAATGCTGCGTTTATTTGTGCTCGATTTGTGCCGTGAAAAGAAATCCTGGTTGTAACTATATTTCTTCTTAAATTACTGCATTTAACAGCTAATATTATTATATTATATATTATGTTAAAGTTTTACAAACCATTATTTATCGCACTGCATAAGAATACATAAAGGACATAATGGACTGTAGAAAAAGTGCTCAAATATAAAATAGCCTTAAGCTATACTGAATGTGTGAAAAAAAAGAAAAAAGACCACAAAAACTGATAGATAATGTTCACTGTAAAAAAATCCGTAAAATTTACATGCAAAACCGACAGCTGTGGTTGCCCTAATTTAACGTAAAAAATACACTAGCAACATTTTATGATTATGGTTTTATGATTTTAACTTAAGTTTACAGTTAAATACCGTAATTTCATTAACTGATATAATGTTAATATACCAACCTATTGAAGTATTGAAATCTGTTTTGTACCTTTGTAATACACTGATAACCAACAAATGCAGGTGGTGATAAGAAAATCACATGATGAACCACAACCCATCACAAGCAGCTTTTAAATAATAACATATATAGAAGGTGCACAGTGTCATTCACACAAACACTAAAAACCATCATGGCAACACACATGAAACTAAATAAAGAAGCGTCTCGTTCCCTCGAGGAACCATGGTTGCATACGTAACCTGAGATGTTCCTCTTCAGGAACTCGAGCTGCGTCGGAATACGCTTTGGGAACGAGAATGCCCACGCCGCCAGACTTGCAAATCCCTGCCTAGTGTGGAAGAGCACAACTAAGGTGAGAGAAAGGGGAGCCAGGAGTGGCTAAAGTAGGCGGGGCCCGCCGTCCCGAAGGCCAACTTCTGGAGGAGTGAGCCTTGACCCCCAAAGGAGAGGGGAGATCAGAGGACTCGAGGCTATGTAATAGCATCCTGATCCACCACTTAGCATAAGCTTCTCTGGCTGGAGGCCTCGGCCTCAGCACACCGCGGAGGAAACATGTAAGAAGAGGGTGTCTTCCCACTGAATGGCCTCCGAGAGGGCCGTGGAAGGCCGCAGTGGCCGCCACAAAGACCTCTAGGGTGGAGTGGGACAACCCTGCAGATAAACAGGCCTGCAGGAATTCCAGAACTGTATCAAACGGGCAGTTAGCTGGGTCGGGCTGGCAGTCTCCGCAGAAGTACAGTTTCCTCATAGAGGGAGCTCTGGATGGAGGATGGTCTCAACAAGTTCGGTTGAGAGACCAGAAGTTATGAGTTGTGCCTCCTCAGAGGCCACACCCACAGCTTCCACAGCTCCAGGCAGGGGCGCACCCTCCGCCTGTGAGAGGAGATCTCTCCTGACGGGAATCTCCCATAGAGTGCCGTCGAGGAGAGAAATCTGCCCCGAGAACCGTACTCGGCCTGGCCAGAACGGGGCTACTAACAAAAGACGGGCCCCGTCCCAGCGCACTCTCTCCAGAACTCCCGGGAGCAGAACAATCGGAGGAAAGGCATACAGACGAAGCCTCGGCCACGTCTGTACCATGGCATCCAGCCCCAGTGGAGCTGGATGAGTCAGAGAGAACCAGAGGGGACAGTGCGATGTCATAAGAGTCGCAACAGGTCCACCTGAGCCTGGCCAAACACTCTCCATATCTGCTTCACCACCTCGGGATGAAGCATCCATTGCCCGGATCTTGGCCCCTGCCTCGAAAAGGATGTCTGCTCCTATATTGAGATGCCCAGGAATGTGAACTGCTCTCAGCGAGAGGAGTGTGCCCTGGGACCACACAAGGATCTGGTGCACCAGCTTGTACAAGGAGCGCGAACGCAAACCTCCCTGGTGGTTGATGTAAGAGACCACTGCTGTGTTGTCAGTACGCACCAACACATGGTGACCTCTTTGGTCTGGGAGAAAGTATTTCAGAGCTTGAAACACGGCCAGCATCTCCAGACAATTGATATGCCACGTCAGATGGCGACCCCTCCACAGACCGCGGGCAGGGTGGCCACTCATAACCGCACCCCAACCGGT